ATATCTCTGATCATTTTTTCATTACATTTAAACTACATTTTGCTACCTGTGCACCACCAACCCCTATACCGGTTACTTTTAGACGAAACCTACACTGGCTACCGGTTGCGGCTCGAATCAAGGTCCAGACATTGATGCTTGCATATAGAACAGCCACAGGCTCAGCACCCGCCTACTTCCACTCCCTACTACGAATCTACATCCCCTCCAGAAGTCTGAGATCCGCTAGTGAGCGACGCCTCGTGGTACCATCACAGAGAGGCTCAAAATCACTTTCCAGAACATTCTCGTTCACCGTTCCTGGCTGGTGGAACGATCTCCCCACCCCTATCCGGAATGCTGAATCCCTGACCATTTTCAAGCGACAGCTGAAAACTCATCTCTTTTGAAGCTACTTGACTTCATCATCATAAAAAAAATAAAAAATAAAAATTCTCTCTCTTTATCTATTCATTCTCTTTCTAGCGTGTACTTATTTGAACAATGTCTAAAAACTTGGTATTACAAGCACTTCCTGTATCTGTTTGCCTCTTTTAAGAAGAATCGCTTTATGTATCCCCCAATTGTAAGTCGCTTTGGATAAAAGCGTCTGCTAAATGTCTAAATGTAAATGTAAATGTAAATGTATGGTTCGTGATCATTTTAAAGGATTAGTTCACTTCCAGAATGAAAATTCTGTCATCATTTACTCACCCTCCACCTGTTCCAAACCTGTATGAGATTCTTTCTTCTGTTGAACACAAAAGAAGATATTTTGAAAAATGTTAGTATCCGAACAGTTAATGGGCACCATTGACTTCTATAGTTGGAAAAAAAACATTTCTATGGAAGTCAATGGTGCCCATCAACTGTTCGGATACCAACATTTTTCAAAATATCTTCTTTTGTGTTCAACAGAAGAAAGAATCTCATACAGGTTTGGAACAGGTGGAGGGTGAGTAAATGATGACAGAATTTTCTTTCTGGAAGTGAACTAATCCTTTAAATAAACAAATAAATATATATCCTGGAAATCAACAGTCATGCTGTCCTAGTTCTTTGTGAAACATGATTTGCATGGCTCGTTATTCCGTGAATGCAACGCCTACTCACATTATACGGTACAAATACACTGGAAGTACCTGAGAGTAGCATTCATCTCCTTTCGAAAAATGATACCTTAGCGTCTACCATGGACCCGAACACTTCTGTAAACTGTACTATCTCTCCGCATGGACACGCGGTGGAGCAGTACATGTACCCGGCAGCTTACTCGCTGTTCTTCATCATTGGATTTCCAGCAAACTGTCTGTCCCTGTACGTGGCCTGGGTTCTGATGAAGAAGGGCAATAATTTGGCGGTTTATCTGATTAATTTGTCAGTCGGAGATCTGCTGTATATCCTCACTCTACCCGTTTGGATCATGATGGCACTCGGCAATGCGGTGAACGATGGTCTTTGCAGCGTTATAGCGGTGGTCATGTTCAACAGCTTCTATGTGGGTTCAGGGTTCCTGTGCTGCATCTCTATGGACCGATATTTAGCCATCGTGTTTCCGCTGCATTTCGCACGTGTGCGAGAGGTCAGAACTGCAGTACTGGTGAGCGTCATCGTATGGCTGGTGGAGATCGTGCTTCATCTGGGCCTTCTAATCTACACGGAGGCGATCGGGAACTTTTCTGCCAGTCGTATGTGCGAGGAGCCGATGATAATGAGCGCCGCCGCCACCAACGTGGCCATCACACGCGCGGTCCTGGGATGTCTCATTCCTGTGCTCATTATGAGCTTCTGCTTCGAGGAGATCATCAGGGCGCTGAAGAAAAGCACATCCACTGTGGTCAGCGAACGGAGGAAGATTTGCCGCCTTCTCTTCTCTCTCCTTTTCACCTACTTGTTGGCTTTTACGCCCTTCCAGGTGGTGATGTTCATCAGAGGACTGCTGGAGCCTGGAAACTGCAGCATCGCGAAGAATCTCAGAGACGTTTACATGGTGTTTGTGGCTACGACTACTATAAACAGTGTTTTAGACCCCATCCTTTATTGTCTCATAAGTGACAGTGCCAAAACTGAAATGAAAAGACTTTTTAAGCTCTGTGAGGAACAATTCAGTAAGATGTATTCATCTGTGATGAAACCTTGAGACTCCAAATATACTGTATATTAATGTCTTGACAGACTCTTAAGAACTTAAGCCTGTAAAGTCTGACATATGAAATTATAGTTAGAAAATTTTAATTTTTTGAAATGGAACAGATTATTGAACCTTTAGACAAAAAAAGTTTGCTTACATGTTTTTGTTGAGTATCATATTTGATACATCAGGCTTGTATGACTCATATATTGTGATATAGTGAGAATATGGAGAGGAAAACAGCTCAATTTCATTTAGACAACTGAGGAAAAATATGCCATTTGGCGCAGATGCCGATATTTACTGTTGCTTGTAATGTAAATCAATGAGATCTTTATAACAGTAGAGCAGATACTTACATAAAATTATATAAATATCAGTCGTCACTCTATATCTCCAATATATGGCTTAGTAAAATGAGATTGAAATTATCAAAACATAATGCAATGCAATCCAGTGCTGATTGAGAGATGAAGAAATAAACGTGAGATGTTCTGGAGGCTTGTGAAGATCATTCCTCCGCTGAGGAACAGTGAAAGTAAAGCTTCTGGAAACAAACGCACCTCAAAAGATCCTGATGATCAGATTTGAGCCTCTAAAACATGATTGATGGAGAATCAAGTAAAGCTGAGCTGCTTCAGTCCAGTAAGTGTTCATCTGGAGATATTACTGCAGTTATTCTGATATTTACTTGATAAAAATCAGTCAAGATTTGACAGTAGAAAAACACGTGAAGCTCCAGCTGAAGGATTTTTACTTGATTAAAAAGTCAATCAGACAACAGAAGGCATGGAGTAGATGGTATGAAACAGGTTTTTCAGCAAAATTTTGATCATGTTGATCATTTAGAGGCCTTGCCAATTTTTGTATCAAATATGATACAGCGGCTTTATAGGGTTAAAAACCTAAAGGTTTCTGTTTAAATTGTTTGTATACGAATATAAATTGTGAATACGTGTGAAATTATTGTTTTGATGACTTCATTGATATTTTGAGTTGTGGAAAAGAGTTATATACAAATGAGCAGGCGAAACTTGTGCATTTCCGTGCATTTGTTTGATGTGTGTATTTGTTTCCAGAAAAGAAACGAGAGTTGTGAAACATATCTTATCTGCTGCAACAAACATGCAAACCTGTTATCGAAACATCATCTGTGGTTTCTGAGAGATGTTTGACTTCACCTGTTCGTCTGGCAGAAATGCAAAACAAACCACTGCTATAAAAACACTTGATGTAAGAAACTAAAGGAATGACTCACCTAGAAGGAAACCTCTGTCGTTATTTACTCACTCACTCACTCACTCACGTTGCTTAAACCTGTATGAATTTCTTTCTTTCTACTAAAACAAAGAACACAAGCAATGGGAAATTTAGCAGAATGATCATACAGCTCTTTTGACAATGAGTTTGCTCTACTTAAAGGGGTCATAGGATGCTACATGCACTTTTACAAGTTGTTTGAACTGAAATGTGTGTTGGCAGTGTGTGTACACAACCACCCTATAATGATAAAAATCCACCCAGTGTTTTTTTTTTAATCTCGTTAAATGTTTTCCCCTTTCTCAAAAATGCTACAAAAACGGCTTGATCTGAAAAGAGCTGTTTTTTTACAGGGTGAAAAAGTGTTTTATACACGACCATTGAGAAATTTTAACCAAACTATGTTACAGACTTTTCATTAAGACACTAAAGAATCATATCAACTTGTGGCAAATGGGCATCCTATGACCCCTTTAAAGGCCTTCTATGATTTCTATTTCACTATATGACACCAAATTGATTTAAGATAAAATATTTTAGCTTACACTCTAAAAAATCCTGGGTTATTTTTTAACCCAAATGATGGGTTGAGCCTTTTGGGTCATTTTTTTTGGTTATTTTTTCAGTGTTTGGGTAGTTTTTGTGTTTCTCAGATCCTGGGTCATACGTAGCCCAGAGGTTGAGTTATTTATCGCTGTGAGTTTGCGTCCTCTTCAGGAGAGAGCAGTTCTAAGCGCCATTGAAGTGATGCATTTCTTCTGTAAAATACAGGTTTGTGTACATTTTATTTTATCTATAAAATCATTACTGTGCTTGCAGAGCATTGTGAGTCACCTAAACGAATGTCGCGACGGTCTTTTCACCTGATGGAAAAGCCTGATGCTTTGCATAAAATAACCGATTTTATTCATAAAGATACAGAATATAAATACTTTGGATGTTAAAATATGTCCTCAGAGCTGTTTACTGTTTGTTTATGGGCAGGTTATGGAGGCAGTCGCAGCTTGTTTCGGCAAAGCGCCGTTACGGTGGAAACAGAATAACAGAGACTGGCCGATTACACGTGAATTACTTCTGCTTAATGATGAATTTGTTCTTGTAATGTTTGTTAAACGAGTTTAAATATAGGCAATATGTATAGCATATGCATTAAAAACAATATAAACAATGCTGTAAATGATGTAAATAGAGGAAAATAAAGGAAGTTATCATGCAAACCAGTGGTTGTGTGGAGTATTTTACAAAAGTTTTGAGGATTTAAGTTAATCTGTAAACATTATTTGAAGTAAAAAAAAAAATTAAAAAAAGTTAGTCTTATAGTAAAAATTAATCAACCCAATTTGCTGGGTAAAATTAACCCAACATGTGTTCTGTCCTATATTTATCCAGCCCAAATTGGGTTGTTTTTTAGAGTGTAAAGTCCAAAATGTTACTTCCTTTATGAAAAAGCCCATATGTAGTAAACAAACTGGTAAGCAGAAGAAACATAGAAATAAGTTTGAGCAATCATATTTCGAGAAGGCAGATAACGGTCACTGTAGTGTCACTTCTCGAGTGTTTGGTGATTTCTGCACACTGTGGTTAAACAAGGAAGTTATGTTTTTCGTATTTCCTCCCCTGTGGAGGAGATCGTTGTAATGTGCAGTTCTTTCATGTATATCTTTGTAAATCTTATCATATTTTCATAATTTTGTCCAAAAACAAGATTCCTGAATCGCTGCACTTATGGTGAGTTTAGATTTGATCCTCTTCTGGTAAAATTCAGCACATGTTTGGTTGGTTGATTTATTTCAACATTCTAGTGAAGCTACAATGTTATTCTAGTAATATTAGGGCTGTTTTGTGATAGATATTGTGGGACAGTAAATAAATCCACTTAAAGGGAAAGTTCACTCATTGTGTCATTATTTACTCGCCCTCATGCCGCTCGACTCATGTGACTTTATTTCTTTTGTATAAGCAGATCTTAGTCAGAATATTGACGCCGCTCTTCTGTACAGCAAAAGCAACCAGTGACTGTTGAGCTTAAGCTTTGTAAAAAAGTCCATATATTACAATCTTACAAGTCTGTATTACAAGGAGGGTACATTACAAGTCATCTAAACAAATATGATAGTTTTGTGTGAGGAAGAGATGAAAATATAGCTCTCAAATTGCTTAAAAAATGAAATGTGATACTTTGCATTACAGAAATAAGCTAAGTTTTATAAAAGAGACTGACCAATATGGGTTTTTGAGGGCCGATGTCGATATTAGGGAGTAAAAAAGGCTGATATCGATATATCAGATGGTAATCTTTATGTGCATATTATAGTACAGTACCAGTCAAAAGTTTGGACACTTTCCCATTCGTGTGTCCAAACTTTTGACTGGTTCTATATATAGAATACAGTATATACATAAACAGAATATATATAAACACATTTTTTTTTTGTAATAATCAATCAAATGTGGTGATCAAACACTTACAATGACGTGACAAAAATATGTAATGGAGGCAGGGTATTTAACAATTTAACAATAAACTTTATTATCCAAAATGAGTCTGACATCAGTGCACTGAACAGTCAAGTTGAAGTTTATTCAAATTTATTTCAATTGAATTCCATTCAACTTTATTCCGTTGAAGTTTATTTCACTTCGGAACATTCATTCACGGATTTTCACTACGCAAATAGTGTTTCTTCACACACAGACGAAACTTATTAGTGAAGTGTAACATAATATACCTCTGTAAATAAATACTATTTAAATTCACGTCTCGCGCACTTTAATGCCCTTTGAATGTAACGTACGTTCCCTTCGAACTGGAATCATGGCAGAATATCCTGTGAAGTCCACTTCGCAGGGCACTTACGGCTGAATAGAGCAAACCTCTGAAGTGATAAGAGAAACATACAAAATGTGCATAGCGGGGGGTCGCAAGGAACAGGATTAAGAACCGCTGCTTAATAGCATTGCGTCTCTCCAACTAGGTGACAGCGTAGCGCTAAATCAACATTCAACAAACTCAAGCCACCTGTATTTGGTGCGGATCTGCCCCGCCGTTACAGAGATATGGCCGTTCAAAGTTTCAATGGTATTCCATACGCTTTAAAGCGTTTAATCCAGGTCGCTACTAGCAAAAAATGGAGCGCGCTCAGTTGGACAAACAACGTAATTGCACCATTTTCAAGCATTTTATCTGCGTTTTATGTTCTGTAAAAAAAAATTTCCTATCAGTGGCATATCTGCGGCATATACGGCGATGCCGATATGTCTGGGACAGGTTCATATCGGCCGATTAAATCGACAGACCGATAAATCGGTCGGGCTCTATTTTATAATATGTTAAAATTAGCTATTAAAGCAAAATAGCTATTTTAAATTATTATATTATTGTAATAATATTTCACAATATTACTGTTTTACTGTATTTTAATCAAATAAATGCAGCCTTGGTGAGCAGCAGAAGAATCTTGTTTAAAAATCTAAATTTAAAAATGTAAAAATCTTACTGACTTCAAACTTCTAAATCTGCTATCATATGACCGTGAGCTCAGCAGCATCCGTCCACATTCACTTATAGCAGCGGTTCTATAGCAGCATTTTGTATGTTTCTCTTATCGCTTCAGAAGTTTGTTCCAATCGACTGTAAGTGCCCAGCAAAGTGGGCATCACAGGATTAAGAAAATAAACAAAAATAGCAACATGAAAAGAGGTTTGGAGCAATGGTGAATAAGTTTTGCTACAGTTTTGCATGAACAGTTTGATTCATAATTGCTATTCCACTGTGAAGTAAAACTCTCACATAGTAAAAAAAAAAATTATTTCTAAACTAGCTGCCTTGAGATGAACATAATGGGCGAATTGATGAACACCTCCAGCCTGAACGAATCAGATGACTGCTACCCATCTGCACATCCCGAGAAGACGGTATTTGTAGCCCTGCATCTGGCTGTGATCCTGATCGGCATCCCGTCCAACATCTTCTTCCTGTTTGTGTCGTATCGGCTCATCCGTCAGAAGAACGAGCTGGGTGTCTATCTGTTTAACCTGGCTCTCTCGGACCTCTTGTTTATCACGTGCTTACCAGTGTGGGTTCGAGTCACTCTTTACGACGAGTGGCCTTACGGGAAGACGATGTGTGTCATTTGTGTTTTCCTGCTCTTCACGAACTTCTACACCAGCGCTATGCTTCTGAGCTGCATTGCGGTGGATCGCTACTTAGCCATCGTTCACCCGCTCAAATTTTGCACTTTTAGAAAACGCAAGACTGCGGTCAGTGTGAGCATTGCTGCTTGGATTTTTACTGTCATATTTAACGCAATGACCGTGCATCCAGACAGTATCTACGATGAGCAGTACTCAATCTGCTTGGATTTGTTTCCTTTGCCCCCAGCGCAAAAATTGGTCAACATTGCTCGTTTTGTAGTCGGCTTCCTCATTCCCGCATTGGTGGTGGGTTTCTGTTATTGGCGGATATGTTCGGACGTGAAGAGAAACCAAACGCTTGTGTCGATGGAGCGCCGGCACGTCTTCAGGCTTCTTGGAAGCATTTTGTTGACCCTTTATTTGTGTTTCGGACCTGTACACATCATGATGGTTTTGAGGGTTTTTCTGGAGGATTGTCCGTATCCCAACTGGCTCTTCCTCGGATATAAGGTCAGCGTCTTCCTCGCGATGCTCAACTGCCTGGCCGATCCACTTCTGTACTGCTTCATGAGCAGAACGGGTCAAGCCAGCGCTTCAAATGTGTTACTTATCCTCAGGAGAATGTGGAAGAAAGAGTGTCAAAAAGAGACGGAACAACAAAACAGCCAAATTCTTGGAAATGGTACTGTTCCAATCACAAAAGCACCCTTTAGGGCTGAATTCAGCACTGACCGCTTGTGATTGGATCATGTTGATGTTTATATATGCTACACTGTATTAAAAAAAAGCTTTACAACTTTACAAGCTGTACCTTCAAACACAAACTGTTTGGCTTAAGCTCATTTGTCTAAAACAGCCAGGTTGTACAATGTTCAAACAAACTCTTCCTTTATTAAAAATCACTGAAAGAAACGATAAGACCTTTTTAATAAAGGAAAAGATGACATTTAAACACAAAGACTGATCCATGAACTGTCTGTCAGCATCGAGACAACGTACACTTACGAAAAGTCTTGCTTTTTTGAGAAATGAGAACAGCGTTTCATCAGCATTTCCTGTTATATAGTCCAGAATAGGCACCAGATCACACTTACCAGTTTCATTTTCACACCCTCTTCGTCCCTAATATTTTCCACAAAATATTATAAACATCTGAAATGTAACGTTAAATATATATTGAGTGTGATATATTATACAAGGCTGCGTCCAACTACATAAAACTACACGACTGTTCAACAGTTTGGGGTCAGAAATATTTTTTGATGTTTTAAGTCTGTTCTGCTCACCAAAGCTGGATTTTTTTTAGCAAAAATACAGTAAAAACAGTAATATTATGAAATATTATTACAATTAAAAATGACCTTTTCTATTTGAATATAGTATTTATTCTTGTGATGCAAGCCGTACATATAGGCATCTTATAAGCATGTTAATATATAAGCAATTGAGTGCTAAATATTAACACCTTACTGACCCCAAACTTGTGAACAGGAAGTGTGTGTGTCATCATATTTCATGTATCTTTTCTGCAAAGATATTTAACAAGCCATTTGTTTCACCTTTACACCATGTTGACCACTTCATGTGTGCTGCACATGGACTAGAACTTTTTTAACCAGATGGTTAATAAAGAGAATGTTACTTGAATCATGTTGTAGTTACGTTTTTAAGTTGACTATGTTAAAAAAATCTTAATCAAAATCTTGAATTGCTCGAACGTTCTGACGTTGCCATATGGCCCAGCCCTAATCAACACTCAGTCTCATCTTCCACCTTCATGCCAGTGTTCTGAGGCCAGAACATCTCAGTTGTCTTGTAAACCAAAGCTTTGAAACCTCCACCCACACCCTCCACCTCATTCTCGACATCATCATCAGTCAAGCCCATGATGGGAAACACAAATAATTACAAAGAAACGACAAGTAACACATTGACACACAGACGGCCACAAACCGTCCCACTGATGCAAACCGTACACAAGGACCATCAGATAAACACACCCGTAAACACCCTCTTAAGATTTGCATAACACCGCCCAAATGTTCACGCAAAGAAAGAAGGCGTAACTTTTATTCTCGCTGTAGGTTAGCCTTACCCTGGAGTTGGTTCACCCTCCACCTATGAGGACAGCGGCTCTCTAGGACCGAACTTGCCTACTCTTGTTCTACACAAAATGTTTGTATGCCTAGCCTAAGAAAATGTACAAAACTGAGATGCAAAAATGTAAGAGAGGAGAAGGAACTAGATACCCCAGGTTTGGCTATTAGAGTTTTGCAGGTGTGGTGGTGTTACTCGTGTTCATCAGATGTGGAAATTATGACATGAGAAAAAGCTTACGAAAATTTTGGTGGAATATGCTAATTATTTGGCAAATTTAACTAGCCAGACACACACTGAATGCATTCAACCTTTGATACGAACATCCATTTCAGCAACTTTGTATTTTCTATCTAAGTCTATCATAATGGGAAGAAAAACAGTGGTCTACTACTACTAATTCATGCACAGCTATCCTCAAAAGATTTAAAAAGCATCGTGAAAGGACCAAATGCAACTTGTGAAGTCATACAACACGAACTGTGGCGGACAACTTTTAATTTCAACTTCTGATTCCTTATATGTCCATGCACGTGTACTTATCACTTGTTGCTTTGAATAAAAGTATGAATTAAATGAATTAAGATAAATATAAATGACTTTATTTACATAATTTGTTTAAAGCTGATGAGATCTGTGAGAATAAAAGCCAACACTGTCTGTCTCTCAAGCGCACAGCTAATGTGCAATGCATTAGGAATGGGCTTATCAATACTGAAGTATCGATATATCGATACTGATCTGAGTACCGAAAGTATCAATACTCAAATAAAAAATATTGATACTAAGGCGTTTTTTTTGCCTGTGATTTTGTTCATTTAACAAGACATTGAATACATACAACATGCACTGAATTGGACGAATAACTACTTTTCTGCTCATCTGAACACACAGAAATGCTGGAAGACAGAACCAATCAATCACAGAGAGCATTCACTCACTGCTGACACTGCATTCAAACAGGGCTGCGTTTCCCAAAAGTATCATAAGAAACCATTGATGCTTTTGTGAAAAAGTCAAGAACAATACTTATCAGAGGACAGAAAAACATAATATGTTTGAGTTATTTCACAATAAACAAATTGAAATTGTAGCCTACATAGTTTGTGCAATTACAATTATTTAAATTGAACGTTGAAAGATAATATTGATCATGTTCTATTCTGTAATACAGTATGTGGAAAATAATGTGTTTTTTTTACTTTAAACCGCATAAACACATTTCATTACACCAAATACACAAAATAATGTTCTTTTTAGCAGCATCATATGACCCCTTTAACACTGAACATCTGAATGAGCATGAATAGGTCAAATGACATGTTAACTAACTTCCCCTTTGTTTTTCTGTAAAATATTTCCCCCCTTAAAATAGCCTACATGAAGCTATCTTCCTTTCATGACAGATGTGCGATTACTGAACTTTCTTAGCTACTTAATTAGAAGTTCAGAATCAGAATGAATGTAAAACTGATTTACATTCATTGTCTGACAACAAAACAATATTACATTGTTTCCATTTTTTATTTAATGTATTTATTTAAACGTTTTTTAAATGTAATAAAAAAAAATACATCTATTTTCCACATTTTTAAATAGCAAAGACACTAAATAACACACATGTGCATACGGGAAAATGATGTGGTGACCAAAACATGACACAAAAATGAGGGACTGATATTCTGAATTAGTTTTTATTTTTGCATCTGTTTTCATTTTTAGTCATTTTGTTGTGTGCTTTTGTCATTTTATTAGCTTTTGTTTGTATTTTTAAAATATGTTTATATAGTTTTTATTCACTTTTATTTCAGCTTTAGTTTTAGTTGTTTTAGTACATCAAGTTAAACTAAATGAAAATGAGATATGTTGCTTTGGCATAGATAAAATAAAAATAAGATGTTAAATTTTTTTATATTTTATTTTAAGTAACATTTTTTTTTTAATGGTTTTAGTCTAATAACCAAGGTGACGACTTTATTGATATATATTCTGCACCAGAGGTAGGCAAGTTCAGTCCTAGAGAGCCGGTGTCCTACAGAGTTTTGCTCCAACCCTGAAAAAAACCTCACCTGCCTGAAGCCTCTGTAATCCTGAAGACCTTGATTAGCTTGTTCAGGTGTGTTTGATTAGGGTTGGAGCAAAACTCTGCAGGACAGCCATAGGCGGAGCGTGTGTAAGGTTGGCCACGGGGACTTGGGGCAAAAATGGCACTAAATTGGACAAAAATGCCCCTGCACAAATAAATTAAATCTATTACGTCTGTAATAGCTGGGTTTGTCCCTTTTTAACCCAGCGCTGGGTTATATTTAACCCAGCATTTTTTAGAGTGTACAATAATCGCCATCATCTCTGCCGTATAAACTGACAACTGATCAGGTAATCTTTTCCCAATACTTACATTCAATGTTGGTATGTATATTCCTATGCCTACCCTATTTTCTTCATCTTTGGATCCATCTGTATAAATATCTAAATAACTGTAAAATTATTCCTTATATGTCCATGCACGTGTACTTATCACTTGTTGCTTTGAATAAAAGTATGAATTAAATGAATTAAGATAAATATAAATGACTTTATTTACATAATTTGTTTAAAGCTGATGAGATCTGTGAGAATAAAAGCCAACACTGTCTGTCTCTCAAGCGCACAGCTAATGTGCAATGCATTAGGAATGGGCTTATCAATACTGAAGTATCGATATATCGATACTGATCTGAGTACCGAAAGTATCAATACTCAAATAAAAAATATTGATACTAAGGCGTTTTTTTTGCCTGTGATTTTGTTCATTTAACAAGACATTGAATACATACAACATGCACTGAATTGGACGAATAACTACTTTTCTGCTCATCTGAACACACAGAAATGCTGGAAGACAGAACCAATCAATCACAGAGAGCATTCACTCACTGCTGACACTGCATTCAAACAGGGCTGCGTTTCCCAAAAGTATCATAAGAAACCATTGATGCTTTTGTGAAAAAGTCAAGAACAATACTTATCAGAGGACAGAAAAACATAATATGTTTGAGTTATTTCACAATAAACAAATTGAAATTTTAGCCTATAGTTTATTTCAGTTGAACATTAAAGTTCATATTGACCATGTTCTACACTGTCAGAATAAAAAAATTGGATTTTATGGGTGCAACTGGCAGTCCCTTTTAAAAATGAACCATGGTTTTACTATACAGTGACCATAGTTTTTGTAGATTTCCATGGTTACCACTACAGTAAATATATTTATTTTAACCATGTGTAAACTAAAATATAATCTATAAGGTATCTTGAATGTTACATGACTTTCAAATAAAATGTTAAATGGGTATCATTACCCATTTTACTCTTCATAATTTAATAAATGTAATCATTTAAAAGTTAAGATTAGGGGTATCATATACTGGCTTTTGAAAATATCAATATCTAATTGAAAACAAAATAAGACCGTTTCCATGGAAACCGTTCTACACAAACACTACATGTCTTTTTTTAAGTTAACACACTCTTAACAGTAATCTTTCAAACAACACTCACCAGTAGTCAAATTTTGAATAAATAACGTTACATCAACAGAGTACAACCAATCGCTCTGCAGCAAAATCGGCGCGTTTGGCGTTAGCACACAAACACAAACGTTCGCGTTGAGAAAAGCGCCCAAAACTATTACCACAGTAAAACAGCAACAGGTTTCTGAGATAC